ACCCCATTGGAAGATGTTTTCCCTCTCTCCATCTCTTTATGGCAAGCACACATATCTTCTGGCAATTAAAAGAAAGATTATGTGTATTATAAGATGGGGCCAGCAGGTGGTATGGTGGTTAAGGATGCTGGACTCCCACATGGCTGACCATGGTTCAAGTCCTGGGCCTGGTGGCTTCTTTTCTCACTTTCTCTTTCTCTCGCTCTTGCTCTCATTCTGTTCCTCTCTGGTCAAATTAATATGTAAAATTTATAAGAAATAAATTAATAAAAAAGAATATGTGCATTACAACAGTCTATCATTTAACAAAAACCAATTTTCATTTTCATTTTTATTTTTGCAAGATGAATTAGCAGATTTAAATTGAGCTAAACATAGTCTTACCACACAGTACAGCAATTGCACTCCTTGATATGTGTGTGTGTGTGTGTGTATGTGTGTGTGTGTATTCAATCACTGTGTATCATTACAGCAAATCAAATAAATTTTCCCATCTTGAATACACTGCATATTGGCTTGATCAAAAATATCACCATATATATTATCAACAAATAATTTTCTTTTTTGTGTCCCTTAAAGGTTTTGCTTCCTTCTTTTTCTCCTTGATATTTATCCAGATGGTTTGCAAATTACTTGTGTAATTTTGAACAGATAGCTTCTCCCCTTCTCCCACAGGCGAACCCTGCTGGTAAGAGATATTACTCTTTTTTATTTCTTTCTTTACATTTTTTTTTTGCCATAGGGCACGAGTGCTCCCCAAAGACAGCCAGAGGAAAAGATAGAGAGGGGAAATGAGAAATCATCCCCTGGGGGATGGCCATACCACAATCCCTTCTCCTCCATTCTTCTTGTAAGATTTTTGACATGCACACATGCACACGCCTAGTGTAATTTTCTATTTTAATTTTTAATTTTTTTTGCACCTAGCTGGGGCTATATATCTTACTGCAGTCATCGAATAGGTATTTTTAATGCATTATTTTTAATTTCATGAAAAATAGTTTTAATATTTTTCTGAAACTTTTTTTTAACTTAATTTACATTCATTCCCAAAGCATCATCACAACATACAAAATGTGATTTCCCATTCAGAATATACTGCATAGTGGCTTAATCATGCATGTTATTATCAAAAATTTTTCATTTCTAGTTTCTAGCATTTTTTTACCTCTATTTCTGACACTCTGTCCTTTCCCACCCTCTTCTCACACTATCTCTGATGTCTACAATTGTCTTCTATTCCTTTCCCTCCCACATTGTATTGATTACACAATTTCTTAAATAATCTAACTACTTTCAATAGCAAGTTCACTTGGTACTATTAAGAAAACCAGTTTTAACTTAAATCAAAGAAATGCTAAGGAACTTTGCTTAAAACTTAAAGCCAGGGAA